GTATAATTATGTTAAAAAGAGTAAATCGAGCTCTTCATTTAGGGATCCAAAGAAACACAGATTTCTTTTTTCAAAGAAAAAAAAGAGAAAGGAAACAAAAAAAAAAAAAAAATTCCCCCGAGAACCCATCCGGACCCGGAGCTTTGTTATTTGGAAGCATCTGAATAACTTTAAAAATTTTGCTTTGCGTTATAGGTTTACATATATCATCCCTTTGGATTTCAGTGACTTTAGGTAAATTTAGTCCTAAGAAGAAGTGGTGCATACCTTGAAATAATAAACAAATGCCAAGCTGCGGGAGCGGGGGAGAAACACAGCTACTCCGCCATTGACGTCACGTGACCCCCATTTTTTGGCTTTTGATTAAATGCACAAATTTATCTTAAGGAAATAAGATTTAGGTGTCAAAGAAGTAAAGATTCAATATTTGGGTTATGATTTTTTTGTATATAATAATAATAATAATAATAATAATAATAATAATAGATAGTTTTCTAAATCTTTTGTTTTTGTATTATAATTTAACGATTAACTCATGCAGGCTGTTTAGTGCCAGCAGAAAGTATTTTGACTATATTAACCAATAAAACCTCATTTAAAAAATAAAATTAAACTTTAAAACTTTTACATTTATATTTAAGAAAAATATAGTAAACATGCCCCAACCACCATACCACCACTGCTGTTTTTCACAGATGGGAGCTGTCAGCATTGTCCTATGACCGGCACAGCTTGCAGTGTGGCCCTCCTTTCTTCTCCAGCCTTCTTAGTCGTCCTGTGCCTTCAGCTTGGCTTACAGCTCAACCACCAGTGGAGTTACTGTGGCTCAAGCAGCCCCAGTAGCCTTTTTAATGTTTGATTTCCAGACCAGATTTGACCAATTACTTTTACAGTTTTGTAAAAAAACAAAACAAAATAAAGAAGTGTAAAATCTGTGGACTCTAAATTGTCTATGGACAAGGTTCCTTCTTGTGCTTCCTCTTTGAGAAACTTATAAATAAATGCAGGAGTGTTACTTTGTTTTCTTGCTATTGTATAGGAAGACACACACACATACAGACCCACACACGTGTTTGTACTGTTACGGATTCAAATATTGGGGATGGATACAAGAGGAAAAACCAAAATAACAACACTGGTCCGGCCGGGTTGAGTCAAACGATGATTTTAATGATCACACGCGTGGGAGATGGACACCGTACGCAGACAGCATCAGATCTCACCTCAAAAACCACATAACAATAGTGTTATGAAATCAGGGTATGCGTAAGACAGGTACAATACAATCAATGTTGACAGTTATTTGACACAGCAAAGGAACATTCTCTTCTTCCCGAGGACAGGCACTGACTCCCGCTTATCTCCTGGAGCCAACTGTCCCCTATGGAGACACAACATTGCAGCTACAAGGTTTTCCAGATTGGTTAAGGTGATCAGTGTGTAATGCTCTGAATCAAGTATGTAATATTAAATGAATGTTGTTTAATCAACTGCCACTACTTAAAACTTAACAAAAGATATAACTGAATAAAAGATCACAAAGAAAACATGATATCAGTGTTATGTAAGCGCGTGCGGCCTTCTATGCTCGAAGTCACTCCACTCCATAGATCAGCCAAACATCGCGTTGACTGTAGCTTTTAACCCTTATTAACTTGAGCACAACTCTATAATGAGCAACAAACTGCAATATGTATAAAAATGATCATGGTTACACCTGCAATGAAAGATCATATGATTATCTGACACCTGTAAATAGAAGATTAACCTGAGGTTATAACAATCACTGTAATACAAATGTTAATGTAATGTCAATAGCTTCAACAAATGTTTAATGCAAAGCTGGTTATATGATTCTGATGTACTAATAATGCATAAGAATAAGATAAGATAAAACTTTATTAATCCCTCGGGTGGGTTCCTCTGGGAAATTCGGTTTCCAAAAGAAGATCACCGACAGAAGTTACAGAGTTACAGAATATTATATATATATATATATACACACACACACACACACACACATATTAAATAACG